TCATGCAGTGTGTTGTGAACCAATGTTACCTCAATAAAAAAAGGAAAGTCTGCCTGAGCCCTCACTTCCTGTTGTGCAAAGGCTCGACATCAGCCCAAGAGGATGGATCAGGCCTGCTCACATGTTTCTCCCGCATGCACACATGTCTGCACACGCGCAGGGCCTTCTAGAGACACGGGAATAAGTTGAAGCTTTCCAAAGTCCCCTGTGAATATCTCATTCCTCAGATTTTCTGTTAAGCCTCTTGCCCCAAGTGGTATGACTGCCTCAAGTAGTTTGATGTTAAAACAATTACAGCAAATTGTTTCTGACAAATTCCCTAGAAACGGTGCTTTCCTCACTGAGTGAACTCTGAGTCAGGCAACTAAAGATCCGCCCCATGAATGGGGCTCTCCAGGGAGCTGCTAGCCAGGGCAAATGATGATAATTCTCTGTTGGTGGGCACAGGGCTTCTTGGGGTACTCCAAACCCATCCTGCCCCCTCCACTGGTTGCTAAGCTGTTGCTTTTTACAGGAACCATAATCCCAAGTCTCCTGGTTTTCAAGGCCACCTCAGAGTTGGAGTGTGGATGGAAATGGACAAGTTAAAACACCACAAAACTTGCAGTTCTTGCCAAAATGCCATCTTGACTAAATGCTCCTTTAATTATTATAGACCTTTGTTAATTTTCAGAGTTCTGAAAAACCAATTATGGTTATTTTTTCCAGAGTTCTAGTTGCTTTTATAGAAGCTGATTTTCAGAGGTCCTCACTTTACCATTCCAAAATGCTTCCTGCCCGATAAGAATTTAAAGAGCAAGTCTTGCAGAGCCTCTCTGTTAAAGGACAGAGTTTCTTAATATCTTAAAGGATTTGTTCCACAGCAGCCTAACTGGAGTCCAAGGTAGAGAAGGCCCCTCTTGAAGGTCACTGTGGATGTGACTTTTGACTAGTGGGGGAGACTATAAATTGACACAAAAAGTTCAGAAAGAGACATTAAAAAGTGAAGATGCTCTTGGACCCCCAAAGTGAACTCTGAAAATCATTCCATTTCAACATGCGCTGTTTTATATATATAAAAAGAGTGACCCAGAAGGCAAAAACCAAAATCCAAGATCCCCGAGAGGAGACGCAAAAGACACATAGAATAATCTAGATTTAACTAAAATCAAGCTCTAGTTAAGACCAAAATGGGCCATAAGAGTTCAGATAGATTTCAGAATTGCTATGGACCAGGAACATCTACATGCTCCCTGTCTCCCTCTTTATGACCTGAAGGGTCTAGAGTTTGCCTGACCCACCACTGCACAGAGGCTCTGTGGAGAACAGAAAACTTTCATCTTCTCTTTAGTGAAAAGTTCTTCAAATCAAGAGGAATGTACTCACCTGAGTAGTCTCATTCACATTTGAACCTGATATAAATTATGAGATCTTGACTTCAAGTTACCACCATAAGGGGTGAGCTCTGAAAGTCCTGGAGAGTGGGACAAGTGTGTCTTGCCCATGGAAAGCATGTAATTTTAGGTTATGGTCAGAATATGGACTATGACAGATTGTATCTTTCAACAGTAGTCACTACAATACCTGCCATCCCACATGCTTTTCTTACAATGTGACCTTGGTATTCCTCCTACTGCACAATGATATCTATGTCCCCTTCCCTAGAACCAGGTAGATCTCTGTGTCTGTATCCACCAATACAGCGAGACAGAAGTGATATTGAACTTCCAAGTTTAAGTCATAAAAATCTCATGCACTGCTGCTTTCCTCTTCAGGGTCACGAGCTCTGGGAAGCCAGCCACCATGCTGTCAGAAAGCCTAAACTCTCCCACATGGAGAAGCCACATATAGGTTTTCTGGCCAACAGCCAGCTGAGATCTAAGCCAACAGTCAGCATCAACCACAAGAGATGTGACTCTGACATCTCCAGATAATTCTAGGCCCCAGCTTTGGGGTCACCCCAAGCTTCACGTCTTTCCCGTTGAGTCCCAACTCATCGTGTAGGAAAGACAAGTTTTGCCTTCTCTGACCTCCCCAAATTTCTGACCCACAGAAACCGTGAAAGGTTTAAGCCCCTACGTTTGGGGATGATTTGTTAATCAGCAATAGAAAACTGGGAACATAATCTAGAGAAAATGGTTTAAGACCCTGCACATTTGAGCTATTTAATTTTTTGCTATTGTGAACATAACTGCTATGAACGTTCTCATACAGTTCCCCAGCGCTTGTGTAAAAGGGCACTTGAGGGTATAGATTTTAAAGTGAAATTGATGTCCACATTTACAAGCTAGTGCCAAATTGCTCTTCAAAGAGGTATTTGCAGTTATATCCACTCGACAAGGCATAAAAAATCCTGTTGACCTCTCTCTGGGCTCTTAACTGCGGTGCCTCTTCTCCGCACCATGCACTCGCCGTGGCCTGCAAATCTTTCTCGGATGCCATTTTGCCAATGAGGCCTGCCCCGGCTGCTCCACGCCAGGTGACAATGCCTCGCCATCACCCTCAGCTGTCCCTGCCCATGTCTTTATCTCCCTTCCCAGCATGCCATGGAATCAGTAATTGTTGCATTTATTGCTTATTGTTCACCTGCCCTAACAGAATGTTCGCGGCCACATTCATGCGGGAGCGCAACCATCCCATACGGGGTAGGTTCATTACCAGTTCCAGCAGCCGTGATGGAGTTTTTGTTAGGGGGAAAAGGCTGTCCTAAAGCTGATTCCATACAGGCTTTGTGGACTCCACCCCCACCCCAGGCCAAAGCCAAAGACTCTGGGAATTCCAAATCCCATCACCACCAAAGGGAAGGTAGCTGGGACCTAAGGGTGGGGTTAAGCAGCCAGGTTGGTATAAAGCCAGACATGTGGGCTTTGGAGGGGTCCCCCATTTTGGCGCCCCGCCAGCTCGCAGCGTCTGGCCAGCTCTGAGAGTGCTTTTTGGGTTTCCAGGTCGTCGGATCAGGTAGGACGCATTAAAGACCTCTCAGTACCTGGTATGTATGTAAATTGTCAATGGTGACTGACATCTTATAATATTGTATATTCAATTGTTTATTATCTACATAAATTGTTTCTGGAAATATAGGGAGAAAGGGTCTCAATAGAGTCCTATTGATGGAACTGTTGAGAGTAAAAACTTGCCTACAAAGGACTGAATAGACCTGGAAATACACCTGACATTTACTAAGTTTTCTTTGACATAATACTGGTAATTTTTTATGCATTTTGTCCTGAATCCACAAAGTTTTGTTTCGTTTTGTTTTGTTTTGTTTTGTTTTGAGTAACCAGGATCTGCAGCAAGGTTGCAATTTTTTCCAGCAAAGCTAACTTGTCACATTTTCTCTCCCCTTGATACCAACACAGCATACAAATAGTGGTAGTAATTTCTGCTACTTATCTCAGAGTCTGTTTTTGCATAACTTCCATAGGGATTTTGTCTGCTTAAACAAAAAAAATTGGACGTGAGTTTGATTGAGTGGCTTTGTGTGGAGTTCTTCCAGAAAGTTGAAAAAGAGCCGAACCAAGAAGAGGAGAACCTGTTTGCTTTGTTTGTAGGGTTCCAGAGACCTCCAAAGAAGGTGAGGAAGCTGCCTCCATTGGCAGGACTGGACAACCCCGGCCAACGAAAAAGCCCTGGTACCCTCGAGAAGGGGAAAGCCCAGGTGGAGTCTGATGAGACCAACTTTGTACCTGAAGCCTACATGGACCAGATGCCAACAGTTCACTCTGATCCTATGTGGAGTATTCCAACAAAGCCAGCTAAAAATTGCTGCTTAGTTATTTCTGCCCTGTGATTTTATGCAAAAATAGGAAAAATGGTTTAAAAGTAGTTTTAGTTTGCAAACTTTTGCTATGCTGTTCAAAGTTTGGGATCAAGGTTGAGAAAATTTGTGTTTTACATCAGTTGAACCATTTTAAGATTTTTTTTTTCCTGTGATTTTGACATATCTGCTGTCTTGTTTTGGCTAATGCCTCCAGATGTTTTTTTTTTTTTTTTTTTTTTTTTGGCTTGAACTGATGAACTGTTTTTCCAGGAATAGAGGACTTTTGCTTTCCACAATGGACAAATACCTGGAGGGACTGGTTTTCTTTCACACTGGAACCCTGGTAAAAAAAATGTTCATCTGAGACTACATCCCAACCTCCATATATTCGATCTTCATCACCATGGAAATGGTGGCAAAAAGTGAAAGGGGGGAATTGTTAGGGGGAAAAGGATGTCCCAAAGCTAATTCCATACAGGCTTTGTGGACTCCACCCCCACCCCAGGCCAAAGCCAAAGACACTGGGAACTCCAAATCTCATCACCACCCAAGGGAAGGTGGCTGGGACCTGAGGGTGGGGTTAAGCAGCCTGGTGGATATAAAAGGCAGACACGTGGGTTTTGGGGGGGTCCCCCATTTTGGCTCTCCACCAGCTCACAGCGTCCGGCCAGCTCTGAGAGTGCCTTTGGGTTTCCAGGTCGGCACATCGGGTAGGACGCATTAAAGACTTTATTTCCCTATTTTCTCCCTGAGTTGTCCATTTTCCTTATTTCCTTTTCCCTTGTAAATAAACATTTTATTAACCTTTTGTGTGTGTCTGTAGTGGAGTATTCATAAGTCCCTTGTAAGGGCGCGGGTGAGGACCCATAGCCAGGCAACCCATATCGGGGCTGCCCTATAACATTTTCAGGCCACACTCCGCCCTGCACGCCTGTACTCCTCCGCACTCCCCTGCACACCTCCATCCTCGGCACCACGCCACCCACACCATTTGGCCAAGTGCACATGCACGGCAGGAGGGCAGCAAAGCCTGAAGCTTCTCCCTTTACTTACCCCACACATGCCAATTGACATTTTTCGTTGTCCACCACTTTCTATTTTTTTTTAAGATTTATAATTTATCGCTGTGTCCTAGCACCCAAATGTGCACAAATGCAATGAGTTTATTAAACAAGTGAATGTCTATATCTTTTCCGGTACCCTAGATAACAAACTGATTTTTACTAATTAAACATAAATGCTAAATCACAGTTGCCTTTAGTCTTCCTTGAAAAGTAATGTTAAGTAGCTTTGCATGTGCTTATTAGCCATCAATGGCTCCTCGCAGGTGACACCCCTGTACATGTCACTCATCCACGTACCTATTGTTTGTTGCCCTTTTATTAAGTCATAGGAGTTCTGTATGTATAATCTTGATACTGATCCATTGCCAATCACATGCACCCCAAATATCTTCTCCCAGTGTACAACTTATCCTTAAGAGGCCTAATAGACAGAAATTTTGTTTATAACATAAGCAATGCAATGGTAAATCCTTTTTCTGTTCTGTTTAAAAATAAACTATTCTCCCACCAGAGCGACAATGCTGGGGGCCAGCTCTTTCTAAATCTTTTTAAAAACCTACTTTAGTGGGCCTCCTCTGGTGGCGCAGCAGTTGAGCGCTGGGCTGCGAGGCTGCCCGCAGCCTCTGCAGCGCCGGTTCGTTCCCGGCCGCCAGCGAGGGTCCCACAAAAAAAAAAAAAAAAAAAAAAAAAAACCCTACTTTAGTGACCACGGAAGGATCTGTGACATACAAGGTAGTACAAAGGACCTCCAGGCCCCTCTGGAGAGACAAGCCCACCCACCCCCAGATCCAGGCCCCTCTCCCTTTCATTCAGCCTCTTCTCCCTTCCAGCAACAGAGACACCATTAATCACCTCTCAGAGCTGCCAGGTGAGCCCAGCCGTGGTGGGGGAAGGTGGGAAAGTGCCCTAGGGAAGGGGCTGCAGCTTAGACTCACCAGCTGGCAGGAGCAGCCCCCACCCCTGCAGAAGCACCGGGCAAGTTCCAACAGACGCGTCTAAGGGGCACTTTGGGATTTAAACCGTAGCCAAAGGGATGAGCCTGGGAGGGGAGCCAGCCCTGCGCTAAGGCAAGGTCCCGCTAAAGCAGAAAGTCTGTTTCTAGAGGGACACGGTCTCCTGTCCGTCTCGCGGGCGGCCCCGTGGCGGCAAGGGGCAGTCGCGGTCACCTCTGCGGCTCGTAGAGAACCAGCCCCTGGTGTGGCCCACACTCCTGCGCAGGTTCCAGGGAATGCCAGAGCACGAGGGGGCAGGCGCGGAGAGGGCCGGGGTCCTGGGAAGGGTGACGTGGTTATTAGCCACAGTCACGTGCACTGACCTTGACGTCACGCTCGCCCATCCCGGGCCTGCGGATGTCTCCTCTGCTTCACAACTCGAGGATGAAACTGTGGGGAGGAGAAAGTTTCGAATATAAACACCAGACATGCCCCCTGTCCTTCTGCCTGATTAGCGGGGCGTGAGCATGTAACCCAGGGGGTTGTCAGTGTCCTGATGAGTCACCAAATCCTATATGAGGGGCTCAGACTTTGCCTCCAGTAAATATTTGCCTTTCACACGTCCTGTCTGTCCTGTCTGCCGAGAAGCAATAAGCAGTCACTGCTGCGAGCCCAGGGCTCACAAGCCTCCAGCCTCAGGTCATCCTCCGCTGCCCCCGCCTCCCGGCACCCAGCCCTGTGCTGAGCACTGGGCGGGGAGTCAGAAAAGCTGGCTCCTGGTCAATTTCTCTCTCCCCTTTTCTACTTAACACAAGCCAGGACATTGCAAGGCCTTCAAGCAGAGAGGCTGCCGACCCGGCCTGCCTTCTGCCCTCGCCACAGGCTTCCCAGAGCATCACATGAACGAATCTTCAGTTCCTGCAAATTGCTGAGGCACCAGAGGAGGCCCACTTAGCGCAGGGCAGTCACCAGCCCTGGGATCCATGGGAATTTCCTCTCCAGGCCTCCCTGCCTGCCCCTCCCTCACCAAACCTTTGCAATCTGAGAAGTGTGATCCCCGAGGAGGCAGACAGTACCTGGACAGCATGGCCTGGGGGTAACTCCTCAGGGAAGGGAGTCCCCCACACCCAGTGTTGTGGCAGCCAAGCACAGAGCAGGTTCTCCACAGATTAGGGCGGACAGATAAAGGAGAGTCTTGGAGCCCTCAGTGGCTTTTCCAGGCTTTAATGCTCTTTCTACACTAATTATTTTGGGGCAAGCCTGCATGGCAGGGAGGCTGGGGGGGCCGGGAGGTTGGCAGGCCTCCCAGCACCCCATAAATCTTTACTCTCTCTCTTTGGGCTCTCTCTGGCATTCTCTCATGGCCTCTTCCTCTCGTAGCCATTCCACCGCAGCCCTTTCATCTGATTGGCCCCACCCTTATAGCCTCAGCCTCCAGGCGCAGGTGTGTCCACTCAGGCATGCCCACACCATACTCCAGGTGTCCACCATCAGGGGTGCGTGCCCCGCTCCCACACTCCCAAGTGTCTTCTGCATTCAAGGCCACAATGGATAGCCACAGGGGCCAATGGCATAAAAGCCTGACCAATTCACTTACCTTACATCCAGGTTGTCACAAATGCTGAGTCCTCAGTCTCCCTGGAGACCACGCACACACAGCGGGCCTCACCCAGAACACCTGACCTGCCAGCGTGCTCAGAGTGGGAGGTCCCAGTCTAAGGAAATCACCTGTGAAGATTCTCCTAATCTTATAGGTAGTACCATGTCCAGAATGTTCCTGCGCCCAGGGAGGCCCCTCTCTGGGCAGACCAGAACAGGGTTGCTGGATCTGGCAAATAAAAACACAGCACATCCAATTAAACATCAATCCGAAGTAAACAAGGAATCTTTTTTTGAGTGCAAGTTTGTCTTACAGAAGATTTGGGGCACACTTACACTAAAAAAAAAGAATGATTGCTATCTATCTGAATTCTAAATTTAAATGGACATCTTGGATTTCATATGGCAACAGAACAACATCACAGGCCCAAACCTAAGCCCATGTATGAGACAGCGTGGGTGCAGGTAGAAATTTAAAAATCACACTCGGAATCAAAATAAAGGGCATCTCAGAGTCTGAGGGCGCTGCAGGGCCTGTGGGCTCCCGGGCATATTTCAGACCCATCACCCCTGTGGCTGCCAGCAGCACCCAGAGGGAGGCGGTAGGAGACCCCAGAAAAGAGGCCCAGGCTCTTGGCAGCCAGCTGCATCCACTCAGACCAGAGCTGAGGGAAAGCACCCTGCAGGGAGAGCTGTGGGTGGGCCAAGGGGAGGTGGCTGCCAAGATGGGGGCCCAAGGGGCCATGAGCTTTCAAATGAAGAAGACTTTGCTGCCAGGAAAGAAACCTCTGAGGTCAGCGCTGCCAGGGCAGCTGGGAACAAGAGGGCCTGCAAGCTGGGGAAACTGAAAAACAGGAGCCCCTGAATCCAGAGCTGCAGTCACAGACTCAGACGCTCTGAGCTCGGGGGAAGCTGAGCAGCTCTCAGCAGTTTCTCTGGGCAGCCAAGCGAGTGTCTCTTCCTAGAAGCCCCACTGGGGAGCCCCCACACAGGTTTCCAGCCCCAACCCAGGACCCTCCAACACCTCCTACCTGAGGCTCACACAGACACGCAGGAGAGCACGCAGGGTCTGCGTGAGCTGACCCCTGGGCTCCGCGGAGCCGCCACCTCACAGGGCTGGCCGCCAAGAGAGGTCGGAGGCTGCATCTTCTAAGCCAGGACCAAGGTGCCACCTTTGGGAAGGCGGTTCCTCAGACACAGTGGCAGCCATCTCAGGACTGGGGGTGACCCGGTAACAGCCAGGAGGACGCAGAAGTGTGTGGCACCCGCTGCCCACCAGCAAAGGCCTACCTCTTCCTGCCCTCTCCTTGCGCCTGGGGGACCAGGCTCCGGGCCTCCTGTGAGGGGGCTGAAGTCATGGAACCCCCCGGAACATCCAGTCCCAGCACCACGCAAGGGGGCGGAGGGGGGGACACGCGTTACCACCAACTTTGAGGAGCTTTGAGAAGGATTTGGGGCCACTTTAACAACAGACGCCACCATTATTATTGTTATTTACAAACGCAGACTGTATGTGTTAAGTACGTTACACACTGTCTTGCTTAATGCACAGCCTATCAGCCGGTCCCTGCCAACCTGGACAATTAACAGTCAGCGGGAGAGGAGCCCAGCAGACAAAATCTCAGACTTAGCAACTGATCATCAAGGTTAAACCCCTGATTGTTGGACAACAGTATCTGGGCTGAAGAGGCTAAGGGCCGGCTCCAAGTCCTTGCAAAGCTGAGCTCTGGCAGCAGGGGGCGCCAGTGTCTGCCATAAACTACTTGCCACAGGAAATCTACACATAATTGTTGCAAAGAAATACAGAAGCCAAAGGGAAGAAACGAGGAAATGATCCCTAGAAAATTCCAGGGGCCCCAGGAAAGAAACTCAAAACAAAACTAGCCAGCGATGCAGGCAGCTCAGACCCAGCTGGAGGGTGTTAGATTCCAAGAGCCTGGGCCTTCCTATCAGCTTCTCCAGAGCTCAGCAAACTTCCTTGGGGAAAAGCCGTCTTGCCCCTGGTTTCTCAGCTGTCATGCCCGCCCCTTGAGATGGCCACAACCTCTGCGGTTTTGCTCTTGGCTCCCTCGGGTCAAGTCCACACCCTGCAGACACCCGAATGGGGAACAAATGAGTAGCGACCAGCGTGCCTGGGAAAGGCCCTTCCTCCTCTCGTCTCTTGTTGCCTGTTCTTGCTTCCACCACTCTCCATTGTCTGTCAACATAGGATTTTTACAATTTAGTCAGTTTCTTGCTTGTCATTGCAGCAGTAGCTGTGGCGGCCTGTTGTAACTTTCTGTATCCCACCCAGGAGCTCCCTCCAGCTTCCCTCTCCGGCTGGCCTTCCTCATTTGTGAAATGAGGGTGACTGTTAATATTAAATGAAAGGTAGCAGCTCAATCAGCCAAAACAGTGCTCCAAATCTGAAGCTATGTGACCTTAAATAAGTTACTCCTCCCCGAGAGGCCTTCTCAGAGTGTCTCTGTTTTCTTCCCAGTCAAATGAGAAAAACTGATGTCTCTGTCTCATATTCTTGCAAGGATTAAATGAGATACCACATGTGGAGCCCTTGGCTTCATGCCTGGCTGTTGGAAGGCAGCCAGCGCTAACTGGTAGTACATATTATTTCAGTTAATAGTAAAGAAGGGCAGGTCAATTAAGGTATTATGGTATTTGCAGAATGTCTATCAAAGACCAAATATTATAACGAAGAGCAGAAGGGTATAAGGTAATGATATATATTTCTTATACTTTGTATCCATGCAGCAATTCTCCCAACTGCTTTGATATTCATTATTGCATCCTCACCGCCACCAGATGACATATAGCAGAACAGATATTATCCCCATTTTAAAGATAAGGAAACTGAGGTTTAAAGAGATTAATTGAATTAATGTTCACCCAGCTACTCAGAGAGAGAGCCAGAAAAAGAATTCATCTTCCCATGTCTGGCTCCGGCCCTCAGGATGCCATAACCCTCCGTGAGACGGGCTCCCGGTCCACGTACATTCTCCTCCTGGCCAACATGGGCAGGAGGACAACAGAAGGTCACAGAAAGACCGGGTTTGTGTGTTTAACGCAGCCACTCCAGCCGCCACTCCTGCTGCAGACCAGAGCCCTGGGCCGCAGATGAGGCTCAGCACCCCGAGGACAGGAGGGCGGGGAGCCAGGCCCCAGCTCACCCCACTGCTTTTGTTCAGTGGTCACTCCACGTGTGTGGCGTGTTCTCGCCCGCAGCAGGTGCTGCGCCCTACGTGCAAATCTGTCAGGGACAGAAACATGGCTTCAGCCTCACAGGACTTCTTGTCTAGTGAAGGGGGAAGATGATAAGCACCTAAGCCACGCGCAGACACAAGCAGCCAGAGACAGGTGAGTCCAGGTGTGTTTAGAGCCCGAACCAATGAACCCGGCCCAAGGCTGGAGGTGCAGGGGAGCACCCCAGCAGCGCAGGGAGAGGGTTGCGGGCCCCAGGGCTGGGCCCCTGGAGGATGGGAGAAAGGAGAACAGGCAGAGAGAGTGGGGGGTGGGGAGGGTGAGGATTTGGCCAGCGGCCACCCAGGGCCACAGGCTGGGCCTGCAGGCTGCAGTCAACTGAAAGGGGAAGGAAAGAGAGCGGCTTTTCAGGGTTCGCTGGTCATAACAACAGGAACAGAGTCTGGCTTACTTCAAAACACAAAACGAATTTATTGCAAGCAGATGTAGCATCAAAGGAAAAGCTGAACAAGCCGGCCTTGAGCAGGGCAGGAAGAAAGGAAGGGCCACAGGTCTAGGTGGTGGGGATCAAGATGGTCCCCCGAGTCAAAGAGATCTGCCCAACCTCTCTCAGTCCTGGGGTTCCTTCCCCAAGATTCAGATTCCCCAGAGATGGTCCCTGTTGGCCAGAAGACAACATACCTGGAAGACAGTCAACAGGACAGCTTCCAAGGGGGAAGGACGGCCAAAAGGAACATCACAAAAATCAGGGTGACATTCCCAAAGGAGTGGGAAGGAATTCTGGACACAAACACCCCCACACTCACCCGCCCTCAAAAAAAAAACCCAGACATCTACTTGAGATTGCGAAAAAAAAATGTCTGGAGGATCATCAAGGACAAACTGGATTTCCTCTGGGTTTGCCCAGAAAATAAGCTCAGGCCATGTGGAGTCCAGGGGCGCACTTTTGGGAGGTGGGAGCTCCTGGCAGGTCACATGGTGTTTAACCCAACTCCAGGCTCTCTGTGTGACTCACCTGTGACAACCAGAGAGCTAAGGTAACCTCTAAGTAAATAAACCTCCAGCAGGGTCAGAGGTGACAGAGAACGCCAGGGGCTGGATTCATTGCACTAACAATTATATGCAAACCAGCTTGAAGGCTGACTCTAAAGTTTTCCCTGCTCTGGGAGTGAGAAAGCTGCAGGAAGAGGTGAGCGGTACCTTAAGATGCAATTCTGGGTGTGCCAAACAATAACCAGCAGAAGTGATGGATCGGCGGGTAGGAAGCCCCGAGATGTCCTGAAGATCTAGCCGTTGGAATCAATTGTGGTTTCCTTCCTGCACAGACAAGCTTTGTCCAAAATGTGCTAATCCAACATATGATTTCTCACAGGAAGAACACTTCAAATGTGGGTTGCAGTATCTCAAGAAACCCATAATGCTTCAAAGGAAGGAGACATTGCAAAAGCACTAAAGATAAAAATTGCACAAGATTTGGACTCTGTGGTGGGACAGGGAGGCCTTGCTT